TCCTCCTCCCCCAAGAAATTTTGGTTTTGAAGATTACGTATTAACTGCTCTTACTAATCTTAAAGCAAATACTCAACTTCTCCATTCTCATTCCCAATCCATAGCAAAGCTAAAAGCTCAAGTTGGGCAAATAGCTAAAGGGAAATTGCCAAGTCAGCCAATTACAAATCTAAAATGATGAACTTACACGATTGATGAGGCTAATCCTTCAAGTACTCGTCATGAGCAAGTTAATGCCATTACCACACTCAGCAGTGGGAAAGTAATTGACAACAAAGTTAAGGAGAAGAGGGAAGAGGAGAGTGAAATATGTAGGATTCCAAATCTAAATATTTCAAATCCAATGGAGTCTTATTTGAATCCAAATCCATCAATCACCAAAGGAGTAAGGAATGAAGTCACTTCTTCATCCACTCTTATCCTTGAGATGCCATATGAGCCAAAAGCTCCATCCCACAACATCTCAAGGTGCCTTCCTACTTTGGCAAATAAGGGGAGAAAATTTAAGACATGATGGAGGTCTTCAAGCAAGTCAAAATAAATTTACCTCTCCTTGATGCTATCAAGAAAATCCAAACCTACTCCAAATTTTTGAAGGACTTGTGCATTCAAAAGAGAAAATCAAAAAGCCAAGTTCCCATGAAAATTTGTCTCACCGAGCAAATCAGTGTAATAATCTAACATAGCACTCCTCCAAAGTTCAAAGATCCTAGTGCTCCCATAATTTCTTGCATCATTAGAAATAATGTGATAGAGCAAGCACTGCTTGATCAAGGAGTTAGTGTTAATCTCATTCCTTACTTAGTGTATAAGAATATAGGCTTGGGAGATCTAAAACCCGCGTCAGTTGTTTTACAACTTGTTGATCGATCTATAAAACAACCACGTGGAATAATTGAAGATGTTCTCATTAAAGTGGACAAGTTCTACTTTCTGGTAGACTTTCTTGTTCTTGATACAGAGCCTGTACATGATCCCAATAGATGTATTCCTGTGATCTTTGGTCGTCCTTTCTTAATTACAGTGAATGTTTGCATTAACTGCAGGACTGGGCTATGGATATTTCTTTTAGGAACATGAAGGTTAAATTAAACATATTCAATGCCACTCCATATTCCTCGAAAAAAGATGAGTGTTTCCTTCTTGATGTTATTAATGAGGATTCCGTCACAGTATTTCTAACAAAAGAACCTCCTCCTTTGATTTCGAGTTCTCCTATTTGTCCAACTCTTGGGTCTACTCACAAGCTTGAGCCTAAGCCACCACCGGATAAGCTTAAGCATTCTTTCTTAGGTCCCAATGGAACTATATCGATTCCTATTGCTTCAAATTTCGTAAATACCCAAAGGAGAAGTTTTGGGATGAGGGAGGTAGTTGAGTTGTTGGATGCGGGATAGAGATTGACATTTCGTCTAGCTAGAGACGTTAAACTTAGCATGTGAGGGGGTACATGTCTCCTTTGTATTTGTATGATTTAGGATTTATTTTTGTTTTTATTTTGACTTTGGTTTTCAAATTGATTGCCCAAAAAAAAAAAAAAAAAAAAAAAAAAAAAAAAAAAAAAATGAGCACATTTTCTTGACTTGTCTATGGATCTATTCATATTTGATTTGCTGTTATTTGCTCCTATATATATATATGTTCTCTGATATGGTTTTGTGGAGTTTTATTATTTTGCCAGGTACTTAGATGCAAGTTTGGGGGTAATTTCTTTTGCCTTTTGCTTGTTATAGTGCATTTTTGTCTTATTCTCACCGGGATATGGTAATAACTTTCTTACTTTAGTTTTAATTTCACACATTGAGGACATTGTATTATTTAAGTTTGGAAGTAAAGCAGAGAATTTAAAATTTTTGCATATACATATTAAGGCGAGTAGTGGTTGATAGAGATGATTTTGGGCCTGGTTAGTGCTATTATTGTTCTCAGGCACTCTTAGAATGGATAAATGTGACTTGTATGTTGAATTCATGTTATTTGGGGAATTCTGAAAATTTTTGATGTCTGTTGGTAGTCTGTGATCCACATTATCAGGATATTTTTTTTTTCATAGTTGGTACTCACATACACATGTCTCTTCTGAGACTCGAACCCCGGACCTCCCTTTGGGAAGTAAGAGGCTGATACCACTAGGTCACTAGCACGTTGGTATTATCAGGATATTTGCAGTCTTATGATTTTAATTTCTAGAATACTTCACTTTACACATAAACATACTTGCATGCATTCTGTAGGATATAAACTTGATACCTTGTTTTGTTTTGTGATAAACTGAAATGAGCACATGAATTTGAGAATTTTAAGAATAAAGGTGTAAATTTTGTAGGTTCGGACTAGACACAACCATTTATGAAGCCTACCAGAGTAAGTCCAGTCGAATAAAATTAAATTAAGCCCAAATGCCAAGCCCCAGTTCAAAAAAATCCGTTAAATAAAAAAATTAACTAGATTTTAAAATCAAGCCCAAGCCCGGATAGGGAGGGTGGCGTGCGTGTGGTAAATGGTTTGGACCCAAGCTAGGTCCTCCTCCTCTTAAAAACGTAGGTGCCTTTGGGCCCAAATCCAAATTCCAAACTTGGGTTATATATACTCCGATTGGTTTCACTTTTTAATGTGGGACAACTACTTCCACATATACATACCCTTTTAAGTATATCAAAACACCTTACTTTGGAACTAATTTCTCAATCACTCAGAAACGGATTTGAGAAAGTAAATATACCACGTTCATTTCTTTGCGGAGAGGAATGCGTTCGTCTATAGATTCGCAAGAAACTCTTAACGGGACCTACTCAAACTTTTGCCCAAGGTTTTCGTTTTGTATGCTCCGTTTCCAACGGTTATATTTACATCAACCGTTATATTTACATCAAACTTTAACATTCATTATTGTGCAATTTACACATGGTGCAGTAGTCAAGATTCAAATGGTATTCCATTATTCGCAGAAAAAAAGTATAGTACGGAAAATTGAAATGTATAAACTGCACAAATTCACTTCATAAAATTATAGTAGTAAATTAAATAAGAATAAAAGAGAAAAAAAAAATTAAAAAGAGGAAAAAAGTTTTCAGCGCACATCATACTGAGTGCAAAAAGAAGAATGTTAAGAAAAGGAAAAGAAGAAGAAGAAAAGAAAAATAAAATGAGATAACTTTGAAAGAAAAATAAAAGGATTTGATTGAAGAAGGGAAATATAAATATTTAATCTGTATGAGAATTTACGAAAAAATTAGAGTAAAAGAGAAAAGAAAGAAAAAAAAAATTAATAGATATTATGGGGCAAAATTTACATATTTAAATACATACAAAAAAAAAAGAAGAAGAAGATAAAATAGATAGACAATATATTGGACCGGTCGGTCCGGGTTGGGACAAGGGCAGGTGCCCTCCTGAGCCTACATTGTCCCCGTTTTTGTTTATATTGATATGGTCGGAATCTTGTCTTTGGCTCTGTTTATGTTATGTTTTGGATCAAGTCTTCAAGATATATTGTATTTGGCACTGTTTATGATATGATTTGGATATTGTCTTCAAGATAATATATTGGCATGTATGTTGATATATTAGAACAACCAATTGTTGTAGTAGTAAAAAGTGAGCAAAAAAATATAAAATTTGTATAGCAATAATTAATAAATTGAAATTTTAATGATATTTAAGTATATTATTTTAGTGTGAAAAGGTCCTGGAAGATTTGATGGCATTAAAACCTCACTGGAAGTGGATTTGATTAATTGATATAACTTTCCTCCGTGTCATGTGAATGTCACTTGAAGATTTGAAACTTGAAACGCTAATGTGGTTTAATTACTAAATTTGTTTAAATTGTTTTATTAGGAATTAGGTGGAGAAGAAGTTTTCTTTTTCTCTTGTGATGTGAATATGAAAAACAATTACTTACTTATGCTCTGGCTATAAAATTGCTGCTGATATGTAACTTTTTGAGGATCAATAGAGAAGAAGAAAAAGGTTGCAGACGTAATAGCCAAAAAAAAAAAAATTTGAAAAGAAGAAGAGATAGGAATGGCTACTAGGAAGAGAAGGTAGCATTGTCTTGAAATAAAAAGGAAATGGCATATAGCCAACGCCCAACGGAGCCACATTGGAGGGGTTGGGTGGCAGGTCCCTTCGGGCCCAATTTGGCTCCTCAATAAGTATATGTGTGTGTATATATTATATATAACCAACAAGATTGTTCTTTTGTAAAAACAACCGCCAATTTATTATAAAAAACATCAAAGATAGCATACAACATCTTCTCACTGGATTGACATAGCTTAATAAAAATACATACCAACTCGAATTCTCACGCATAATACACGGGAAAACATAAAAATTACTTAAAATCACACGCACATAAATACAAGTTTGTGTTGTCTTAACCACTTTCATCAGGCTTTAAAGACAACACAGAACATCCATTATTATAACTAAATAGAATGCAAATGCAGTTAAATTATTAATGATTAAAAGACTAGTAAAAGGTGGCTTATGATCATTGTCTCGATTTTCTCCTCATTTGTTGAGATATGCTCCAATTGCTGTAAGATACTTGTTAGACCTTCCATGAAATCCGACGATCTTGTCACAAATAGTGCTAGATGAGAATTGAAATTTCTCTCCATCCTCCGTCCCAAATGGTCCAATCGTTCTTTTGTTGCTTTGAAATCCAAGTGATCGGATAACGACCATGTTACCTACTTGTCCATAATACCCCCAAAATGAGAGCAAAAATTCATCTGCATCTAACGTGACCTACATAAGTTATTTTTTATTTAAAAAAAAAACGAAAGGATAAGTATGCATGGTATTTAGATTTGCATAAATGAAAGCTTGAGTATTAAAATCTCCAACAAAAAAAAAAGAAAATAACTAACCGTATTTTTTTTTCTGCTCATAGTACCATGCTTTTCTCCCAATAACCTATTTCCCTTTTTGTCATAGACAACTTGAATGCAATCAATTAATGCTCCGGAGTGTATAATAAATTCTCTTACCGTGCTGTAGGTTCCATCATCCCACTGTTGTCCACCAGTAGTTCCAAATGGACCAACAGTTACTACAACTTTTAATGGCTTAACATATACTCCAATCGCATCCACACAACCAACATGCCCACCAAAATCCAACAATCTTGCCAACAGTTAACGGGGTTATAAAATAAGTTCCTTCTTCCTTACCATATGGTCCAAATTTCTGTTTATTGCTTTGAAATGAAAGGGATTTCACAGCAATAGCTTGTTTAGATATGGAGTGGCCCCCATAGTACCTGATATTGAAACAAGATATTCGGTAGGATAATCTAATTTCACCTGTAAGATTTCAATTAATAAGGATAAACTTAGGTGTTATGACAAAAATTGGTAAACCACAAACACAATAAAAAAAAGGATAAAAAGAATTTTACACTGTAAAAAAAATGGAGATTAGAGGCTTTAGCCCACAATCCTTTGTCTCTGTCATTATCATCAAGATCATTATCAAGTTGCCTTCTTCTTCTTCTTCTTCTTCTTTCTTTCTTTTTTTTTTTTTTCAATAGAGTGGGTCACATGAATTCTCTTTCTCCACTCTATTATAAACCATTTAAGACTAAATATTTTAAAATCATTATAATTACTTCATTCAATGTAGTTTTCGCCATCTTTGTTTTCTCTTACCATATATATCTATGCAAAGTACTTTTTCGGGCCGCATCAACTGGTCTACTTTCTATTTTCTATTAAACGTTAGATCTACTTTCTATTTTCTATTACTTGTTAGATTTGTTTAACTCGTTTTACTGGCTTAGTTTAAATTTCTTTTCCTTATCTTATTTTTTCTTCTTCTTAATATATATGCATATATAATAAATGTGGTACTGTCTGTAATGACTGGAAGAGGATTTGATTATAAATATATATACATATTATGAAAATAAAATTGCAATAAAATAATGTATATTACCTGATATGGTTTTCCCCCACCATCACCATACTTTTTTCCCACCACTGCATCTCCTTCCGTATCATAGACAAACTGGATGGAATTAATTTCAGATTTTGCTTCTATAAATAATTCTCTTACGGTTTTGTAGGTTCCATCATCCCACTTTCGGTGAAATGAAGCTGGCGGTGCAACACCAAATGCTCCGAAATAAACAATCTGTCCGTCCCCCATGGAGTCCTTAAAACTATAAATAAGTTTAGTACTTCAAGTTTGCGTGAGAAAATAATTAGATCATAAAAGGCGATATGTGTGTGTATTTTATACGTGTGCCAGTTTGCAATTCAAGAAAAAGTAGAAAGGCATATAAGTTATATATAACTGTATGCTGAGGCATTACTGCTTATCTCTGGCTACAAAATTTAGGCTGACATGCAACTTTTTGAAGATTAATAGAGTATAAAGAGAAAAATAAAACAAAAATAGAAAAGATAAATGTTGAAGCAAACAAATACGTACGTACCAAAAAAGAAGAGATGGGAAAGGCTGTCAGATATTGTAGCAAATAAGCAAAAGGTGATGAAGGAAAACAAGGATTATTTGTCTTGAAATCAAAGGGACATGGCATGGGTATATATGGGCAATGGAATGACAAGCAAATTCTTTTTTTATTTGTTTTGGTGGAGGAAAGTTCATTAAAAAAAAAAAAAAAAAAATCTATTATATTGTTTCAGATATATATATATTACTCCATCAAATAATATAAGTTGGTTGTTATGGTTCTTACTCCAATTAATATAGTATCAAGTTCATAAAATACTTTTAAAGTATATTTATAGTGCTATCACATCGTCACTGATAAATTTAAACTCTAAATTGATTAAATTATCCTTACTGAATCATTTTATAAAATATATAAAAATAAATAATTCTGTAAAATGGCTGAAAATGACACTATTGGAGGATGCCCATCTTGCGCAAAAAAAAAAAAAAAAAAAAAAAAAAAAAAAAAAAAAAATCCCTAAAGTTTCAATCTAGTGCAAATAGATCCCTCTGACAAATTTAAACCATAAGTTGACTAAATTACCCTTATTGAACCATTTTATAAAATATATAAAAATAAATAATTTGATAAAATGACCAAAAATTACACTATTGGAGGACGTTGACAATGGACAAGTAAAGATAAAAATATAAAATAAAAATAAAAGTATAAAAGAAAAGTAAATATAAAAATAAAAAATAAAAAAACAAAAATAAAGTGCAAACTAAAAAAAAAAACAAAATTTTTCCAAACTCCAAAAACCAGTGCACATTGATATTGGGAAATTTTTTTATTTTTTGGTTTAATAGTGTTGGTACAAAAATAAAATAAAATAAAGAAAAAAAAATTATTAGAAAAGAGTAAACTGAAATCTCCAAAAAATCAAATTGGTTTTACAAATTCTCAAACTTAAAAAAAAAAAAAAAAAGATGTTTAGAGATATATATATAGAGAAAAAAGTTTTTTTAAAAAAATATATATAAGATAATATGCACATAACACCCCTATACTATGATATTAGTACCATATATACTCCCTTGGGTATTTTCGGAAGAGTAAAAGGATCAAACGGTATCACAACACTAATTTATGTCATATGGATATTTTGTACAATGTAAAAAGATTAGGAGTATTTTTTGCATACTTTTTCAAATATGGGATAAAAGTGCTACGCGAAGTATACTTTAGGAATATTTTTTAGCACTTGTCCCAATTAATATATTATATTGTTTTATTTAAATCTATATATACACACTTATAATATTCATTATATGAATTCATGAGAGATAAAGAAAAATTACAGTACTGTGTCCTCATATTTAATAAAAATAGTTAAACTTTTTTAAACAGTCAATTTCGTTAAATGATGTTTACAATCTATATATATATATATATAATTCCAATTATATATCTGGAGGAGTCGTGGGACTATCGGAAGCAGAAAATCTAAAACATCCCGAGACCAAGATGACAAGAATGGCAACATTAATAATAATAGTTAATATATTACTCCATATTTTAAATTTTTTATTTATTATTATTATTTATTTTTTGAGTAAAATTGGAAAATTAAGAAGAAAAACAAAGTCATCCCTTTGCATTGCAAGGCTAACAGACTAAAGAAGGTAGAGAGTTAGTTGTCACTATCATAGTTAGTAAAATACGGTACGGACAAAATATGGGTACGGAAATGTACGTGTATAATTCGATATATTTTTTAAAATACGTTTGAAAAATTCGGTAAAAAAATACGAATACAAATATGTACGTGTATAATACATTATATATTCTAAAAATTCGGGATTTCTTATATATATATATTTGTAAGGACAATAAAGAATATGTAACAAATAATAAAATAAATATATTACAATTGACAGTATCACAATAATCATAAAAAAAAATTCATAAGTATATAATGTGATATTCTACTAAAATATCTAGGGAGTGTGGTGATCTACAAACTTCTAAAATAATAATAATGATAAAGATATTAACAAAATTTAAAAAATCTCACAACAAAACAAAAAATCTATAAATATCTACAAACATTAAAAACTTAAGATTTTTCAAGATTGTAGTATTCCACAAATATATATATATATATATATATATATATATATATATATATATATATATATATATCTTTCATTGCTTTGATTAAAGATCATAATTGGAGTGACAATAATAAGAGATTGCACAACAAATAACATTATTTTGATGGCTTGAAAGATAATGGCTATACCAAGCAAAAGAGGGTAGAAAAGACAATAGTTTACATAACAAATAACATTATTTTGATGGTTTCAAAAATAATGGCTATACCAAGCAAAAGAGGGTAGAAAAGACAATAGTTTACATAACAAATAACATTATTTTGATGGTTTCAAAAATAATGGCTATACCAAGCAAAAGAGGGTAGAAAATATAATAGTTCAGAAAAATACGCTATTAGAAACATAAAGTTCGTAAACGAAAAAAAATAATAATTAGGTTACGAATTAAACGGAGCAACCAAAATGAATAAACGAATAAACGCATTAGATACGGGGTGATGAAAAAAACACGTATTTTACTGTATCTTTCAACTTGGATCGGCAAACGGAAGTATTTTCTCAAAATTTAATTCGCGTATTACATGTGAATTAACTAACTAGGGTCACTACTAGTTCCCACATATAAAATGACTCACTAGTTAGATGAAATTTTTTATAAAATAAACCTATTAATTAAGTTAAAATATTACATTTTTTTTATCTTAATCTTTCATCAAGGGTAATAATGACATATTTCTCAAAGTGGAAATAAAGTAATAAAAAATTTTGAATTGGAAAATTGTAACAGACTAAATTTTAAAGATTGAACAATTTTTTAATTTAGTTCTACAACTTCTTCCTTTGTTCATAACTTATTGCTTCTTTTCTTTATTTTATTTTTTCTTTTTCATATCAGTTTCTATTACTATTTATTTAGGCTGGTTTGTCTCATTTTTATGAGTTGTATTTTTCTCAATATTTATATGGATGGATAATATTATTATATAAAATTAATTTATAAATATTTCAAATTATAATTACACAGGATAATATTAACAGCACAGGCATTTGGACCCGCTCTCCTTGCCACCATTATTTAAGAAGTGTTCTCGGTGCTATTATCAAAAGTCTTTCAATTAATAATATGGCACATTGGATAGTGTTACAAGGATCATTTGTCTCCTGTCGAATTCAAATAAAAAAATTATTGGGTATAAATGAATGGGTATACAATACTATCTAACAGTTTAAGTTTTGGAGTAAATGGGTAAGTGTTTACCCATTACAGTTAGTGTCAGAGCCAGATCTAATCCTTGATTCGGTGTCATGCCAAACGTCCGGCCCGAAAGGCGTCCGGGTGAGCCAACCCAGGTAGGCAGGGTAGCACGAGCCGCAACGAGGGTGTTGCGAGTTTAGGTAGAGAAGAATGTAACAAGGATCATTTATCTCATATCGAATCCAGATAAAAAAATGATTGGATATAATATCCAACAACTAAAACTTTTGAATAAATGGACAAAAGTTTACCCGTTACAGATAGGATGATGATTTTTTATTTTTATTTTTCCTTTTACTTTTTCAACAAGAGTTGATCTCAAAACGAGAGGTCAAATCTTTCCTAAGTCCACTTAACGAGGGTGGATCTGGATCTCAAAAATGAGCGGTAAGTCTTTGGTGAGTCTACTAATTTTAAATTTTTTTTAGAGTAAAGTACACTAACACCCCCTGAGGTTTGCCATAAGGACACACAAATGAAACTTAACCTGTTTTGAGACAATGACACCCCCTCAAGTTTCATACAAGTACCAAAGACACCCCAATGGTAATGAATTGGCATTTTTTCCCTCTGACTTTTATATTGACCTATTTAAATGTTAAAATTACCTTTCTGACCTTAAATAATTTCTTTCCTTTTCCTCTCTTCGTACTATCTTTCCTTCATCCTTCCATTTTTTTTTTTAATACACAGACACAGACACACAGACACACACAAATATACAATACATACAAATATATCCACACACACGCGGCGGCGATGGGTAGCGGCGGTGGGCTGTCGTTCTCTGGTTTGAGGTCACGACAGATGATGCCCATGGTATGGAGGTGTTCGAGAGCGCAAACGATGCTCGGAAAACGGATCTAGCGGCGGCGAGTTTGTCGTTTTTGACTCGGAGAGAAGATTCGATTGGGAGAGGTTTTATGCTTGGAATACGAAATGGAGAGCGAGCGGCTTTGGCTAGAGAGGCGAGTCCGTCGCCGGCATTTCGAACGGAGGATGCTCGGAAAATGGATCTGGTGGCGGCGAGTTTATTATTTTTGAGGGCGAGTCTCTTGCCACCGATGTCTTTAATCCTACTGCAAGTCGCCATCAACAAATCTATTGGCGAGTAAGATTGAAATTGGATCCTGGGTCTCTCTTCGCCGGTCCATTTTTGGCAATTCTATCTTCCATTTTCGGTGTTGTGGTTCATTTGATGATGTTGATGAACTGGCGGCGGTATATGCAGTGGGGTTGATTTGTGGTGGTGATATATGTGTGTGTAAGGTTTTTGTACGAGATAAAGATGGGGTATTAGCTAAATGAATGGGGAAAATAGGGATTGATTGTGCTGTATATTTGTGGCGGTGCGGAGGATTGGGCTTGGTCCATTATA